TGGATAATAAACCAAGAGATGCATCCCTGCCCCAGGCAAGGCTTAACAGAAGCCATCAGGCCTGTGAGCAAGGGAGTCAAGAGCAAGGGAGTCAAGAGCTGCTGTGTCACAGTGGATAGGGCCCATTGCTGTTTATCCCAAACTGATTAACGAACTGAGAGTGGCTGTCAGTGCTTCCCCCGCCTTGACAAGGTGGGGCCCAACCCTGTGAGCAGATGTAGAGCAGTAATCCTTCAGGTTCCCTGAGGGGATGTAGAGATTAGCCCGAAATGCCCTGCTCTGAATCCCTGCAGGAGCTGTTTTGAGAGCTAAACCACCACATGAGTCCCCCAGCCTGTCCTTGTTGCTGTCCTCTACATGCAATGTAGTATCCTCTGGAGAGAGCTGCTCAGGCCAGCATGGCTCCCACCCTGCAGCAGTCAAGGAAGCCCAGCTTCTCTTTTCCTGAGCAGAGTTGGTGCTTCTAACAGCTTTCCCTGGGACCTTACAGGGGCTTTATTGCCTGAAAAGAGGCTAGAAAATTATCCCATCTCTTTCTCCAAGCCTTCATCCCTTGTGACTTCTAGAGGCAGGAGGAGTGAGACCACATTTGGGTTGGGATTAGTCCTCTGTCTCTCCCATATATCCCCTAGGCCAGACAAAGATTCCCTGAAGGCAATCTCCCTCCTTGAAGTGACTTGCAGGTTACATCTCTCCTCATAATTAGTGTTAGTCCAGGGCAGAGGCAAAACCCTATCCTGTGCTTGTCCAGGGCGCTTGATTCTTGCCATCGTTGCCACTTGATTCCAGCACTGTTTTTTCCTGCTTCAGGATATGAATTACCAGTTGCGATGGCATGGGGTGTCCAGGCCTGTAGGATCTTCAGGAAGTCATTTTATTTGCGGTGGCTGTATCTCTGTTGCAGTGCCTGTGAACACAGCTCTTCTGTTGTTTGCTATCTGTGTAGTTCCCATGCTGGCAAGAATGGCCATGGGAATACCTGCATCACTCCTCTATATGGCGCAGAGCTGTGCCACCACCAAAGGGCCACAAAGGTTTTGCTGGAGAGACTTTCCTTATTTCCTGTTGTTCCATTTCCCTTAAATTCCTCAGCTTTCCCTGGGCCTGTGGCATTGTTCAGAATGAGATCAGTGTGTTGCCTGGCATCTTATTTTGGAGCTGGTGTCTGCTTGTGCCGTGACCTGTGGAAGCTGTGAAGGTGACATTAACTGGGAGGCACGCATGTCCTTTCACAGCTCTGCGTGTTTGCTGCTTGGCAAGGGGATGGTTTTTGTGGCATAACTTAACACATTCCTGATGAACCGCGCTGCCCAGGTGGCTTTCGCTTTTTACATCTGCAGTCCGACAGAAGGGGACTTAGAAACAGAATTTCACTTTAAGTTTTAAACAGACAGGTAGTGTTTGATTTGGGGTGGGTGTTTCTGTGGCCCTTGGTGATACGGATAGTCTAAGACCTGCCCAGACTGGGTTTGTGCCTCCTGTTTTCATAAGCAATTAGCTATCAAACAAGCAGGCATTTACCAGGGCCTGGCTGAAGTTGCCTTCCAGAGCTCCAGTTTTCAAGGGTTGGACTGGACCCAGCGTTTGGCCAGCAGTTCTTCTCTCAAGAAGGTAAGTCACTGCTACAGGCTCTGGAGACTGCACATCTTTGCAGCTCCTTGCGTGCTTTGCTGAGGACCAGCAGCAGCAGGGACTTTGAAGCAGCAGCTCCCGCGGGAGTTGGTGTCGTGATCAAATCACTAACCTGCTCAGCTCCTGCTCTGGGAGCTGTCAGAGGGTATTAGGGCCAGGAGACCAGAATGCAACATACTCAAGCCTCTGTGAGTCTGGTTTCTGTCCTGAGTCTTGTTCCCATTTGAATTCCTCTGGTTCTTGCAGGGAGCTGGCTCCCTCCTCCTGGCTTCGGCATGCTGTTAATGTGTGGCTGGTGGTGGGTACGTGATGAGGGGTCTTCAACCTGTAGATCTAGAGGAGCAAATTGCCCTGGTGGGCTCTTGGTCAGGGACAGAAAGGTCCACAAGGTCGCTGCTTCCTGGGAGCCATAACTCACATCAAATGAGAAATAACCACATGGGCTTGCCCATGGACAGGCAGGCCATCCTCCTGTTGGTAGTGGGCAGCAGAAGCTTGGTGGAGGGCAGAAAAGCAGGTATCAGAGCCCAGCCTGTCATAGCATTTGCACAGTTGTACTGTGAAGCTCCTCAGCCTGATTTACAGCCTCTCTCATGCTCACTTTTAGGGAGAAACAAGCAAAATGGCAGGTTAGGTTTGAACAGTGGAGTCCAAACCTGCTGGATGGTTATCGCTACTCACCTGGCACTATTAAATCTCACCTAGAAGGGAGATTTACTATATGGCACTATTAAATCTCACCTAGACTTGGCCAACACAGTTCAGCTGTGGCTGCAGTGGTGAGAAGGAAATCCACAGCCCAGAAAGCGTTTCTACAGCTGATCATGGCCAATGCTTTTTCCAGCTCAGGAAAGCTGCTGCCAAGAACAGGACAGCATGCAAAAAGCACAAATACCTCCCCACCAAGGCAGCAGATGCCCCCGGGCAGCTGCCAGCAGGTTTTCTACCTTCCTTGCTACTTCAGGGAAGGACATTCCCTGAAAAGCCCAACAGTTGCTTTGACTTTCAGCCTGGGCCAAGTGGGACCTTCATCAACTTCTCGCCTCGCCAGCTGCCATGAAAGCAGCGATGGCAGGTGTGAAATTGCAGGTGACTTGCTTGCTTCTGGCACTCCAGTGCTGTCATTTTGGGCTTTTGACAGTCTCCGAGTGGGCAGGAAGAGGGAATCGCACTGAATCCATGCTTTCTGGAGCAGGTCTTGGGTCATAGAGCACTTAGGTGGAAGGAAAAGGG